TACCCCAAAAGTAACAGTTTGGTATGCAATCTCTGTTGAAAAAAATTATGGACCATTTTTCATTAATGAACCAACGATAATAGAAACTTTATACACTGATCTATAGAATGGACACCTTAGTCTCCTGACTTGACAGTTCCAGACTTTTTTCTCTGAAATTATGTCAAGGAGGAATCCTGTAATCCTTTGCCAAATAGCTTGGAAGATTAAGATCTTCCAAGCTTCCACTTAAGAGTGGAACATTCGTAATGCCATCAAAGCAATTCCCTAGGAAATGTTACACAATTTATTCAACCATTTACTGACACATTAATGCGTAGGACATAATGGCTAACATATACAGCATTTTTTATAGCTTTATGCAGTTTTTACTTACTTTTTAGTAGGCAAACATAATTTCCAAATTTTGTAAATATGCTTAAAAAAAATAGGTATCAGGATTTCGATTTAAATTTTTTACGGCTAAAACTTCAAGTTTAAAGGACGATGTTTATTGGTATATGGATACCTTAAACAAGATTCATTTTATTGACGTTGGGATATACAGGGCATTCCATTAGAAATAGTGAAGAATTTCGATGTTGAAAAACGGATTTTTTTTTACTCGCCCTGTATAAGAGGCAAAAAAATTTGCAACCTACTAAAAAAACTTTAGCTCAAGAGAAATCGAATGGCGCAAGCCGCAGGTAGCTAGCACACCTGGTTTAAAAGTAATAAGCATTTAAAATGGGTCACTCTCAGCTGGGACACCCTGTATTAAAATCGAGATTAAAATTAAATAATTCAAGGAAATTCTATTTCAGAACAGCCTGTTAACTGGTTGCTACGGAATTTTTTTTAACAAATAATGACACACCATGACACACTGCATGTCAAAGTTTTTTCCCAAGGTCTGACCGACGCGGAATCATTTCGGCAAAAAATGTTGATTAGAAATAGAAACTGCAGAAGAATTTGTAGTTCCCAATATAATACTTCTCAAAAAACGATGATGTTCGCACAAAACCGTCTAATAAATGAGTGAAACCATAATTCTAATGTATTTCGAGGGTGAATCGAAAAAGTTCAATATCCTGCACTTATTCAATTTGTGTGGGTAGGTACCCCAGAAAATATGTTTTTTTTTTCTGATATTTACACTTTGTCGTTAAATTTTTTTCCGTTTATGTATTTTTAAAATATCACCACTGAGCGTGCACGAAGTATTTCGTGCGCTAGTGCGCGAAATATTTCGTGCACGTCGTTAAGGTAAATAAAACCAATGTGACATTTTTCGAACGGAAATCAGTGTGAAAATGTCATCATTTTTTGACGTCTGTAGAAAAAAGTAATTTAATGATATTTAAAAGAAAAAAATGGGTATTTATAGATATTTAAACAGGTATTTAAAAGTATTTCAAATATAAAAATAATTTATTTGGAGGATTTAACAGAGATTCAAAAACATTTAAAATGTATTTAAAAGCAAAGTGTACACCATATTTAAATCTCTGCGCACCCCTCGGTTAAAACACATCCTACAATTCCTAACGGGTCAAAAATAGTACTGATGATTGATAAAATTGTCCGTTTTGATAAAATGCTTATGTTGAAATTTGACTGTATTGTAAACTGAAAGGTATCTGAATTGGGATTCCATAGAATGCCCAAGGTTTTGACACTTTGTTCTTCAGACATTTTAATATTGAAATTTTCCTGTGTCTTGTTTTGGATTTTTGAACTCTGACACGTTTGAAGTCCATTGGGTTAGAACGAATCCATAGGATTTAAGTATTTCAAAAATCTGCTTCTTTAAATCCTTCAATTCTTCTAGTGAATTATGTCCAGTAATCAAATCATCGACGTAAAAATCAGTCAAAATGATTTTACTAGCTTCTGGGTGCTCATTGCTATGATTGATAGCGGCTTGATGCAGGGATCTTATTGCCAAAAATGAAGAAATTGCAACACCATACACAACTGTGTTTAAAGTATAATGGCCAATTTCCTTATCAGGAGTCTCTCTCCATAGGATGCGTTGCAAATTTCTTTGCTGTGGATCGACATTGACCATCCGGTACATTTTGGTTACGTCAGCTTTGAGAACAAATGTTTCCGAAAACGAAGGAGAATTGAAAATAAGTCTTCCTGTATTACCGGTCCTACATAAGTAATTGCATTCAATGATGGAATAGATGGATGCTCTGATGAACTAGCATCAAACACCGTTCTTAGCTTGGTGGTGGCACTACTCATTTTTAGGACTCCATGATGCGGCAGGTAATATGTGGGTTCATTAGTGCTGATTTCTTCCGGTTTTAATCTGGTCATATGATTCGATCTATTAGTCAACCATCCAAGGACCTTTTTTTTCAGTTATACATACACCCCATACTTTGTGAGTGGCTTGCTTACATCAAGTCCTACAACTTTTCCTCTACGACTTTTCTCGGAAATGGCACGTATATGGACTATATGTTACGCTGTGACAAAATTGTCCTTCAAGTTTTCTATGTTACTTTTGATTGGAATTTTTACCACAAAGTGCCCTGATTCATCTTGCCTAGTATTTTGCAAAAAATGATCCTCACAAAATTGCTCGGTTTTGGAAAAACTTCTACTATTAGCTTCCGAGAGCTCCTCGGTTTCCCAGAATTTTTCCAGTTGCTGTTGTATTTCTAATGTGTGATTTTGATTGTTGTTCATTGATACACAACAAATCGGAACTTTACTGAATGGTGTTTCAATTAACTGCAATGGTCTAGCAATGATCCAGCCCAATTTAGTTTTTGTTAAAATTGGCATGTTTTTTTCCAAGCCTAATTTGACCTATGCATAATAGCTCATAAAAAACTGATGCGCTCAACAACATTTGTACATCCTTGGACTTGTAAAACTCCCTGTCAGCCAATGTAATGCCCCTAGGAATTTGAAGTTGCCTTGCTTGCTCGGTTTGAAATAACTGTGGAATTTGTCCGGTGATTTCTTCCAAAATTAAAAATGAGAATTTCATACATCTGTCAAAACTGGTATTCCAACAATAAATTGACATGTTTTGATTGTTGATTTGAACCAATCAGATTGTAATTACGCGATAATTTGCACTAGTACAAATTATCAGATAATTGCACACTAACTGGTGCGAAAACTGGTGTTTTGACATTTTTTGACAAAAAATTTGAATTTTTGATTTATGAAATTCTCTCATTAAATACAACTCGTGCAATGGAAATATATTTATAATTTTCGACAAATTTGCAAATTTCCCAAAAATTATCAATAATTTCCATTGCACTAGTTATATTACTATTGATAATTTTTTCCTATAATCTGTGTGCATCGATTTTATTTCTGTATCTAAACTCTTGCAAATTTGTTCTTTGGAGCCCCCTATTCCTAAAATCGGTGTACTATTGGCTTTACAATCGATTCCCAACTTGTTTGCCATGCCAGTGGTGACAAAATTGCTCATTGAACCTGCATCAAGCAATGCTCGACACTTTACATATTTGCTGTCTCTGTCTTGCACGTATATTTCGGCTGTACCAAGCAAAACGGTGGTTCCTTGTAAATTACAATGAGTATTGATCGAAGGGTTTTCTTTTGCGATGGGTTCCTTTGCATTGTTGCCAGCCTGTCCCTCCTGGCTTTGAATAAATTTCTGTTTTGCACACAACAGCGTGTTGTGCGAACCTTGGTTGCATTTTTTGCAAGAACCTGAGCACTCATACTCTTCCTCATGACAGGGTTTTAAACAGTTGGTGCATAGTTTAAGTTTTTTGACTTCTCCAAATCTTGTTTGAGGACTCCTGTCCAAAAATCGCTTGCAATAATATAAGTAATGATTTTCCTTGCATAGGTAACAACCGAATTTCCCCTGACCATCCGTTGCCAAGTGGTTGAATGTTTTTCCTGGGCCGGCCAATTTGATTTTTTCCGGAATTTGCCCACTGGCGCATGACACTGTTTCCAATAACCGACATCTGTCATTTAAAAATGTATTGAATTCTTTGAATGTGGGCATGGGTTTAACTTGATCTTCCCAATCCCTTCGCGTTTTTGGATCCAATTTTGAGGTAATGTTAAAAATCAAAATGACGTCCCAGTGAGTCACAGGTTGTCCGAGAGACTCAAGCGCACGAATATCTCTTGTGAATGTGTCAATAAAATGCCGCAAACCTGATGGATTTTCCCGATTTAATGCCGGCAAATCGTTGATCGATTTAAGATGACTGTTGACAATGGATCTTATGTCATCGAATCGCTCCTCTAGTAATTGTACTGCTATGTTATAATTGGCATCTGTGACCGTCAATGAATCAATTGTTTTTAATGGATCTTCACCAAGACATCCTCGTAGGTACCGTAATTTTTTTACGTCCGGCAACGCTGTATTCAAGTGAACCATGCTGCTAAAGGCATCTCAAAATGGTATCCAATCGCTGTATGCACCGGAAAACTTTGGCAAATTTAAAGACGGCAACCTGATACTAGGATTTAGAACCTGCTGCTGAATGATCGGAATCGACCCGCCGGCACCCGGTTGGTGTCGACCCCCTGCGGCACTCATGCGGCTAATTATGTCCCTGGCTGAACCTATGCACGTGAAATAATTAGTCTCGAATTGCTCGAAATCCATCCCGTCCGTGTTGTTGGGATCTAGAATGTCTATTTGTACCTGAATTTCCGAAAAAATCGAATACAATGTGTTGAGGTCTTTGTGGTGATAGTAAGGCACCTTATTTAGCTACTCGTTTATTGGACAGATTATGAAATTCGGTTCATTATAATTTATGTTTGACTTGTGCAGAGAGTGGATAATAATTTAGGTGTTGCTTCGTTGATGGTCGTGGTAGGAGAGAGGGCTCGTTACTCCATACTCTGTAGTATTCTTGATAATTTAGAACGGCAGTGTTGCCACTATCAATTCATCAATTTATCGCGACACTGCACTCTCCCCTGCTTAATTAAGGACCAATTATCAACATCATTACATAATAGAAAGATATTGTAAATTCATCCTATGCGTGCTCAACAGGAGATAGTAAATTCAAACCTTCTAGCTCATTAATTTCCCTAACAATTTTTACATAGTTGTATGTGTTACATTTTGTTATAAGAACTGAACCATGAGTTTGAACAATTTTTACAAAGTTGTATCTTCAAGTCTTACATATTTGTTTCTCTCTCTCTCTGCCTCCTCAAACAAAAAATTTTTATACATACTTTACAATAAAATATTTCTTAACCCTAAGATGTTACATTTCTGTCTTTGTCACAATTTTGCATATAAACTTAAAATTTAATATCACATTTGATAAATCAATGATTGTATACGTATAGAATACAAAACAAAAATACATTTATACATATCTGATAATATAAAACAAAAATATTTATTTTTTTATTCGTCACTAACAACATAAATTTCCTACCAGTTTGATTTGCTACTTTCCGAATCCGAAATGATAACATTATCTGGATTGGATTCATCAACGCTCCCTGAACTATTGCCATGAGCATTGTCGTCATTTGCTAACTGAAAACCTTCTACACTATCTTTGCTACTATTCAAAGCGTTTTCTCCCGCTCCAGTAGTACTGAGTGGCCTTTCCGCGATGTTATCTGCTATCTGCGCATTCCGATCCGTTGATCCTGGTGAAGTCGAAAGTCGGTCAGGCTCGTGTCCGCCCCTGCTGGAGTTTCCATGACTGGTGTTGGAGAACCTGCAACATTAATATCAGTGCGAGTATTTATGTATGAGAATGAGTCATTATGTGAATACAAGCTAGAATTATGTTTGTTATTTGTTGTTTTATTGTTAATACCCTGATTTTTAAACGATTTATCAGACAAATTGTCTAATTCAATACTTGAATCTAGTTTAAATCCACAAGAAATGATCTGGTTTAGATGTCTTTCCCAGATTTGGTTTGATTTTATTTGGCAAAGGTAGACATTCTTCCCAATTCTCTTTTGAATGGTTGCTGGTATCCATTTGGTTTGGTTTTGCACTCTGTAATCTTTTACCATTACTGCTTCTCCCTTTTCATACTGTCTTTTTATCGGTTTTTGTTTTTGCTGTAATTCTTTATTTTCTTCTGACTTTTCTGTATTTTCTGAATCTTTTTCCCTCAGTATGCTTCGCCTGGTTCTCAATTCTCTATCAAAGACTCTTCTGGCTGGTGATTCTCCAGTTGCCAGATGTACTGAATTCCTATAAGTAAGCAAAAATCTTGAAATTAGTGTTGACAGCGGTTCTCCTTCATTTTTCCGGTCTTCCAAAGATACTTTCATTCTAGATTTGAAGGTTTTGACCATGTTTTCTGCCAATCCATTGCTTTCAGGATGATATGGTGGTGATGTCAGATGTTTTATACCATTGCCCTGGAAAAATTGCTCTAGTCGCTTTGACACAAATTGTGGTCCGTTGTCGGAGACTACTACCTGTGGTAGACCAAAACGTGCAAATGTTTCTCTCAATTTTTCTTCTGTTTGCAACGCGTCCGTTGACTTCATTGGAAAAACTTCGGGCCATTTACTATATGCATCCACCATAACTAGACACATTGTTTGATATAGTTGCAGATAATCAATGTGTACTCTTTCAAATGGTTTTGTGGCTTCTGGCCATGGTATTAAAGATTTTGGAGGGTTTTGTTTGTTCATTAGACATGGCATGCATGATTTTACCAAATGTTCTATATCTTGGTCTATTTTGGGCCAGTCCATTACTTCTCTTGCCATTGATTTTAGTTTTTTTATTCCAAAGTGTGCTGTGTGCAATTCATCCAACAATTGTTTTCTCAGGCATTTGGGAATTATCATTCTGTGTCCCCACATGATCACATCAGTGTCTGCAGTCAATTCATTCCTCTTTTGGTAATATGGTCTCACATCCTCAGTTATTTTGTTTGGCCATTGATCTCTTTTTATAAATTTTAGAACTTGGCTGAGTTCCTTATCTTCCAAAGTTCTTTTTCTTACTGCGTTGTTGTTTATTGGCCATGAGGTCACTGTTTCTGTGAAGTTTATGTATATTCCCTTTCCTGTTTGTTCCTTCGAAACGTAGTTTACCGGTAAGGGTGCTCTTGATAAATAATCTGCTATGGCATTATCTTGGCCTTTTATATGCTGCAAAGTATAATTAAAATCTGATAGATATACTGCCCATCGTAATAAACGATTTGAAGCCATGGTGGGTAATTCTTTATGCTCCCCCAACCATGATATGATTGGTTTATTATCTGTTTTGATGGAAAACTTATTTCCTGCTAAGTAGTGGTAGAATTTATTTACTGAGTAAAATATAGCCAAGCTTTCATGTTGCAAAGTTGGCCATTTTGCCTCAGTTTTGTTTAATGTTCTTGATACACATGCAATCATTCTTTCTTCACCGTTTATTATATGGCTTAATACTCCGCTTATACCTGTGTTGCTTGCATCACAAGTTAGAACTATGGGTAGCTTAGGGTTAAAATGAACTAAACAGTTATCAGAGGTCATTTGCTTTTTAACTTGCTGAAATGCATTTTCACATTCCTTGTTCCATTCAAATTTATTATTTTCTTTATGCAAAAATTTATAAATTGGTTGTAATGTTTGTGCAATATTTGGAACAAATTTATGATAATAGTTAATTAAACCTGCTAATTTCCTAACTTCTTGAATGTTAGTTGGTCTAGGTGCGTTTATAATCGCTTTGACTTTATCGTCAGAAGTTTTAAGTCCCTCTTTACTAATTTTATGACCTAAATACATTAGTTCCTCTTTAAAGAATTCACATTTTTCCTTTCTTACTGTTAACCCTGCATCTGCTAATACAAAAATAACCCTTTCTAAATTTTCTAAATGCTCCCTATCATCTTTGCCTGTTACTATAACATCATCAATATAACTACACACTCCATCCATGCCCTGAAACAATGTATCTATATGCTTTTGGAAAATGCTGCTAGCTGTTGTGATTCCAAAAGGTAACCTATTCATTTTAAAAAGACCCTTATGTGTGTTAATCGTCAAAATTTTTCCTGATTCCTCATCTAATTCTAACTGATTATACGCCTTGCTTAAATCGATTTTTGAAAATTTTTGACCATTGCTCAGTTTAGCAAATAAATCATGAATGAGTGGTAGTGGATATACATATTCTTTTAAAAATTTATTGACCGTTATTTTATAATTACCACACAGTCTAATTTGACCATTATTTTTCAAAATGGGTACTGCAGGTGTTGCCCAGTCACTATTTGTGACCGGCGAAATAACATTTTCTAACAATAAATTATTTAGCTCTTCCTCAATCAACCCTTTATACGCTAGAGGTGGATTCCTATATTTTATAAAAATTGGCCTTGCATCCTCTCGCAAATATAGTTTAACTTTACATGGTTTTAACTTGCCTAATTTATCACTGAAAACTTCAGGATACTTGCCAATGACTTCTTCCACAGCATTATTCACGGCTATGTGGTTAATTGATTCTATGTTAACCTTAAAGCCATCCAGCCAATTTCGACCAAGCAGACACGGACCTCCCCCTTCGACAACGTAGAACCTGACCGACTTTTCGACTCCTCCATACTCCACATTTGCCCTGATACTTCCTTCGGGCCAGAAAGTATTTCCGTCGTAGCCTCTCAGCACCACTGTCTCGGGATCCAATCTGCAATGAGAAAATTTACTGGAATAAATGGTCTTACTCAAGGCACTGACTGCGCTACCAGTATCAATCAACATTTCAATTGGTGTTTTATTTATTTTTACGTTAATTAAAAACGGATTATTCTCATCGATGTTGCAAATTAAGTATTTTGCTTCATTCGAATTATATTTGACAAGCTCATGACAAAGTACATCTACTTCCTCCTCTTCTACACTCTTTTCTACAAAATTCATTTTATTATTATATTTAAAGCACATTTTCTCAAGATGCCCTGTCCTTTTACACCTTAAACATTTGTGATTCCTATAAAAGCAAATTGATTTATGGCTATTTACACCTATTATCCAAGTTTTGATTATTTTTGTTGTCATACTTATGATTTTTATTGAAATTCCTCGAAAAATGCCCGTTGTTCCCATTAAATTTATTTACTTTAGAATTAGAAAATTTACTTAGCTTTTGATTTGTTATTGTCCTGTTATCCCTTCTGTCACTGTCAGATGCGCGACAGCTGGAGCTACTCCATGTTGCTCTGGGTTGACCTTGCACATAGTTCACATGTCCAAATCCGTTGTTGCCAGATTGCGCTACATCTTCGATCTTTTGCGCCAAGGTGATCATTCAATCCAAATCGGTATTTTCTTCTTCTTCACAAAGACGATCGAATATTTTTCTGGAAGCCATGCCGGAAACGAATTTGTCCTTTAGCACCGCCTTCAATCTGTTGCCAAATGCGCAGTTGACTGCCGCACTCCTGATTCTTGCGTACCAGTCGATGGTGAATTCCTGCTGACTTTGTTGAAGGTCATAGAACTTCTTTTTTTCTCTCCAACTGCATTTTTGAATGCAAAATTGTTCTTGGAGAATTTGGCACCGTTGATTGTAACTTTTGTCTTTGGGTAGCTCTGGATAACACAAATCACGGATTAGTTTATATATGTTTGGACTTACAGAACTTAGTAAAATTGCAACTTTGATGGAACCATGTTCTTCTTTAATTGCGTTTGCTTCAAAATGTTGCTCTAATCTTTCCTTGTAGACATCAAAATCGTCTGTTTCTGGGCAAAATTCTTGGAACCTCGGTGCTGACGTTGTCGTCGTCGCCATTTTCTTTAAGGTGAAGCGTGGTGAATTTCTTGAATTTCGTAGTTTTCTCTTTAATCCTCTTCGCCAATGTTGGGGTCTTTGTGGTGATAGTAAGGCACGTTATTTACCTACTCGTTTATTGGAGAGATTATGAAATTCGGTTCATTATAATTTATGTTTGACTTGTGCAGAGAGTGGATAATAATTTAGGTGTTGCTTCGTTGATGGTCGTGGTAGGAGAGAGGGCTCGTCACTCCATACTCTGTAGTATTCTTGATAATTTAGAACGGCAGTGTTGCCACTATCAATTCATCAATTTATCGCGACACTGCACAATGGCTCAATTTTTTGGACCCTTTCTGAAATTTCTGTAATGCTGCCCGTGTCAGCATTGAATAAACTTAAAAAATTCGAAAATCGAGTAACCTGACCCTTGATTACCCCTCGCTTCACTCGCAAATTTTTAAGCTGCTGATCGGCATCCGCCATTTTTGCTTGTTATTATTTATTTATTTTAGGTTATGAACTAATTTGAATTTTAAATTTCGCGCCTCCCTGCCGACAATATGTCATGTGTCAAACAGATTGGGAAGGCGGCAGATAGAAATCTTGGCAAGAGATGTTATGTTTTTGGCGGCCACGTGTTTGTAGCGTCTCTCTCGAAAATATAATAGTTAAAAAGTTAATCGAGTCAGTTGCTATATTTATTTTAAAAAAAACGAACAAAAAAAAAATTAAATGCTACAAAAAAAAACTCGACAAAAAACAAGTAAAACCTTGAAAAAATGACAAATAAGGAAGAAAGGAACGGACTTACTTGGCTTGACGTAATCCTGTTCTGCTTGTCTATCCTGTAATCCTGTTTTAACATGCGCCGACAGGATTTAACACTGATTTTTGTTGCGTAATAGGGTGATTACACTACCGAACCGGCACAAGCGCAATTTTCACGTTGTTCTTTTACACGTTTTCTCGCGAAAACTGCCTCCCGGCTGAAGCGACCAATTTTTATGTTCACCTAAATCCGTGTGTCGATTTAGGGTTTCGATATTATAGTGGACTTTCACTGGATTTAAAACATTTTGGACAATTTAATGAAACTTTGTGCGCGGTACCCGTGTGTGTTTGCCGATGCATGCGAGTGTCCATTACTCTCTTCCGCCTTCCTGCGCGGTTCGTCATTCCCCACTCCTGACGGTTTGAACAGAGCGCCGCCATTGTTACCGTTGCCGCTCATTTTGAATTTTAAACTTAGGAAATGTTTTATGATATCGTTCACCAATGTGACCAAATATGGTTGGGTGATATGACAGTAGTCTCCTTCGCCCATAAAATAATTTAACGAGGAGGCAAATTATCAAATTCTGGAAGTGGCATATTATTCGAATTAAAAAGTGTAACTTGACCTCCACGTCTCACCATGATTATATTAGTTGGGTGATTAATAAGGCTGGCCAACAATTATTGAAACATTTTGTGCATTATCGGGTACAACAACAGCTTCAACTTTTGCTTTAGCCAGATCATTAGGAATTAGTTAGATCAATGACAGCTTTATGGTTTACAATAATTGAAGAAGCTCCTGCAAATCCATTCAGACGTTTCTGTACGGGATGTAGTTGTAGCCCTAAAGCTTTCACGTCAAATGCACGTAAAGTAACGACACTACTGCCGAAATCGACATATTCACGTGAAATATTCTGATTTATAGAGCAATCGATAAAGTAACATACATTTGTCTCACAATTATTTTGAGCAGTTTCTATATTAAAAATAGGTTTGTAGAAGTTTTGCTTTGAGAAATTCTTTTCTTCGTGTCCCAGTAACATTTTCTACATTCCTTCCTAGGCTTTGAACATTTCGAAGCTATATGCCCTCGTTGACCACAATTGAAACGCTTTGTTTCAAATTTATTCTACTTATTTCTTATGTGGTTTCTTAAATGTGAAGACCCAGCTTCTTAGGAGTTCCATTTTTGCAAAATGGTACGATTGTCATCGATTCAGATAATATTTTCTTTCGATTCAGCATTGTTTGCAGAAGGGTCGCATAATCAATATGGTCTCGAAAACTACGTTTAAGAAGAGTTTTCCATTCTTCCCAAAATAAATTGTAGTTAGGTGAACTGTGGGACCATGTCTTTGCCATGTACACCAATCTTGACTGCTTGTGGTAAATTGTTGTAATATTGTCCCAATGGTTAATGGTTATTAATTGATCAATCTTGGAAAGCCACTGTGGTGAAGTCAAATTATCATTTTCTGGGGAGAATTCAGGTATGCAATACTATGCAATCACTTTAAACAGTTAATCTAGGCACTTCAGATCTACTTCCAATTGATTGTGTTTGTCTAGTTAATTATTTGGTCATATTTTCCAACCTTTGGATTCGTTCCTGTGTTGTTTCAGAATAGTTTTCTTCAGGAGAATTCAAAATACAGGGATATGTAGCTGACGTTACTAATTGTCGCGTTGCTGTTAGACACCTGAGCCTCAACAACTCGAAACCTTACATTATTTCCTGAAGTTGAATAATCGGGTTCTGGATGTTTCCTTGATTCTGGCGTGTATGTTTTAACGGTTCTGCTAATAGGCGATTCTGAACGTTATCTTGAATCATTCTTGCGTGTTATAGAACGAAAGTACCGCAATTTAGAACGTCTGTTACAGGTATCATCAGGCGATTTTGAACGTATTTCCATCACGCGATTTTGAACGTCTTCTTGAATCTTGTGAACGTAAACCTTGCACAACAGGGTTGTATGAATAAAAACTGAGTTTAAACTCGGAGTATATACTCGTGAGTCGTGAGTATGAGTATGAAGTCTGAGCTTATACTCCATTTCATAAGAATAAAAAAGATTTCGGTTTGATAAGTACATACTCCTAGTACATAGAGTAGATACTCAACATTTTATTTTGCTTGTCACCGCTCTTCCACCTCTATATCCTATTCACAATCCGATGTCCACAGGTACAGGTAAATTTATCACCTTTCCCTATCAAATAGCATTGAAAGGTGATCAATTTTACCTGTATCTGTGGACATCGGATTGTGATTAGATAATATTATATCCGCAGGACTGCGGGGAAATTTGTTCCACCGTTCACTTTGCTGAAGTACTTAGCTGATAAGATAGCTACTTCCGATACAACTTTAGACACCGAAGTTTGGTGAACACCAACATCCTCGCCTACTCCTGCCTGAAAGCCCGGGTCACCCACGTATCTTAAAAATATTTTAAATTTGTCTTTGTTGCATAAAGCACCACCTCTTCTTTCTCCAGACTCTTCACCCAAAAATTGATTTGATAACCACTCTACAATTTCTTTACTAAACCGGTACAACGTTTTAAAGTCCCGATCACACGTATTTTTTCTAGCTTTGTAAAATTTTTCCGAACGCAGGTTAAGATTGAAGAACTCTGCCATGCCCATAGCTCTGCCTTCTACCGAGGGAAAATCGGTACTGAAATATCTTGAAGCAGAAAGTTGAGTCTACTGCATAGCAGACTCTAAAACTATGGAGTAGATTCTTCTACCGAAGAGCACAAACAATTTTTTATTCATACCAAAAGTGAGAATCTACTCATACCAAATTATACATAGGAGTACCTACTCAAGCGAAATATCTGCTCGTAGTTTTTATTCATACCACGTGGAGTATTTACTCCAAAATTTGGAGTAGAAACTAAATGATCATTTTTATTCATACCACCCAATGAGAGCGTATTTTTCAGACTACCTCGCCAAAAAATATTCGTAATTAAGTATCTAACCCTATCCTATTATATAAGTACAGAAACAACCAATCTAAGAAAAGGTAACATAAAACTTCCAAGGGTACTTCCAAGCACGTGAAGGAATGCTGGTGGAAACAAAGAAATCCCTCATTGCTTCGACCTATACTTTCATTTTTCATACATAATTGACTTTATAAAATTCACTTATCACTTATTGAAACGTTCAAGACAAATATCGAATTAAAACTGACTTACTTGAGGTACCTACTACACTACCTACTTCGCACTATAGCAGACAGTGTACTCGGGAAAATCCCAACGACCTACTTGAATAGAATTATTCTCCGAATTGTGTAGGCGACGTGCATACAATTACGGCTGGAGTTACCCAATTCCTTAATTCTTAATATTTGTCCTAAATTCTTAATTCTTAAACAGTTCAAATTATTTAACATTGGTGTTTTTAAGGATTAAGAATTAAGAACAAAAATTAAGAATTAAGGAATTGGGTAACCCCAGCCTACATTCTTAAAATCCGCATGTTCGTAACAAAATTATTATTATTTTCAATATTTTCGAGTGTAAGGGTAACTTTGTCTGTATTCCGTAGCTTGCAAATAAAGGCTACCCCTAATCTAAAAAATTACCATTCTATAGTTAGAAATATAGGTAAGTCGTGTGCCAAACAAAAAATCGTCAATATGTAAATGTTGTGTAAATAATTTTAACCAAAATGATTTTAAAATCGTCAGTAATAGGGCGGTTTGATATACATAGTTTTAAAATAATTGCGGTGAATTTATTTTATAAAACAAAGTAACTTTTAAGAATCCAGGGTATGTATTCCAAAATAAATGAAAAAATCGTATGTAATTATTACTTTTTACTGTATTTATGTTCAAAAATATACTTTTAAACTTGAGAATAATGAGCATTTTTATTAATAACAATTATTTCTAATAAATGGGAAACAAAAATTGAACTGTTTATTTTAAAAATGCTTTACGTGATTTTGATGTACGCAACCAACAATACACCCATGGCAATTGTAGTTGCATATCATTCAAACGAATCGATAACATTCGCCTTGTAGTCCTAGCGCTTATGGTAAGTTATTTATTTAATTTATGTTAAAATTGTTTAATTTGCATGTATTTTTTTGTCAGAGAAAAATGCATGATGCAGCTTCATGATTAATAATTTATTTTTAATAATAATTTTGTTACATTTCAGCTACAAATTTCGATCAAATTTCCAATGGGACGAATGGTACACTTTCCTATGTTGAAATGTTTGAGGCATCTCAATCCAATGTGCTTCTATGGAGATGTAAGGCTTGTAGCAAAGAAGTGACAAATAGGTATTTATTTAGAATTTACACATTATTACGATGTGTAAAGGGCTTTTGACTGATGTATGATGTATTTGCAATAACAGGTTTATAATAATTATCTTCCTAGTTTTCTGGCTTCAGACCACGCTGGAGATTTAATAAGAGAGATCTATATCCAGCAGAGCTGGGCAAACTTGAAAAAAGTAGCTACCTACATGTAACAAGCTACTTTATATTGTAAGTAGCTAAGTTACTTAGTAGGTCAACTACCTCATAAAAAAAATAGCTAAGCTATTGGTAACTTAACTACATATTGAACTAGTGAAAGCTATATTTAAGCTACTTTTTAAAAAGTTAAATTAATAAAAACAAAAAAACGTGCACAATCGCCACTATCAATGTAACTTAGGTACCTTATTTAATTTCATTATATCATCATACGAAAATTAAATTTTAATTTTCTCTAGAAACTGCAGTTTTCATATTTTTAACAAAAACCACTGGACATTTATCACGTTCACTTTGATCACAGTGATCTGCGAATGCGAGAATAAAACAGGACACATAGGACATAGGTACAAACTTACAGAGATAAGTTGAAACTAGTCTAAACAAGGCAAAAATGATAATTGTAGCTTGAGCTTAAGTAGCTTGTTCTAGTAGCTTGCTACTTTTTACAGTAGCTTATGAATACATGAAATACATTACCAAAAGCTACAGCTACAAGCTACTTTTTTTTAAAAGTAGCTTGAATAAGTTATTAGCTACCAAAAAAATAGCTAAGTTTAGTAGCTGCTTGGTAACTAGCTACTGCCCAGCTCTGATATCCAGTAGTATATTTTATACCATTAGATAGAACAGAACAGTCAGTGAATTTCTTATCTTGCTGTACATAATTATTGAGGAAATTATGCAGCTTGGTGAAACCATTACAGGGCCGCCGCTACCATGTGTGCGGTGTGTTCAAAACACACAGGCGGCCGATTGAAAAGGGCGGCCGATTGAAAGGGGCGGCCGATTGCAAAGGGTTGCCGCCACCGATCTTGATGCAAAAAAAAATCATGTGCAGCGTCCTACAAACTATCCCCCCTCATACGACTTTTAGACAGCGTCTGAGTCGGGGTAAAGACAGAAAAAACACAAACGAAAGTCACGCATCTG